GTAAACATTTGACCCTAAACTACTGGGAAGGAACAAACTGGACCTTCTGCTTTTCAGAGACAGCTAAAAGGTTACACAATCCCTCCTGCTGATTCCTAACAACTCAAGGCAATATTCTTAAGTAGGTCCTGCATGCCAAGGTGTCGTCATGGCTCTTTCCAAGACATAGAATATAGTATTCATGAAAATCAGTATGACATGTTTCCGGTGCACTTGCAACCTATCCAGAAGCAAGTGCAATTTTATATCAAAGTCATGCAAACTTATGCAGAAAAGAAAGCATTAAGAGCAAGAAGCCCTCTGGCATATTGACCTGATATAGGACAAGAAAAACAGTTCAAAAAGGCTGATATGTGCATCTGAAAAACATCAACTAGAAATTGGGTCAACAAATACTGTGTTTTTGTTGCATAATGAGATCCAACGGCTGCAAGGCAAAGTTAGATAAACCTGGATTGGAAATACAGCACAGATTTCTAATGGTGAGGATGCTCTAATCATTGGAAGAGATTGCCTTGGGGTACAGAAAAATCTCCATCCCCTGAAATCTAGACTGCATGTCCCTCCAGGTCTTAAAACTTAAGGCCGTGCCCAGATGAGTGCGGCCATGCAGTATGTGCTGCTGCAGACATGTCTGCAAAGCCACACACCACATATTGAGCTGTTCTCTGCACTGCAAAGGAGCAGCCAGGGGTCAAAAAACCCACACCAAAAAAAAATTTAAAAAATTTTAAAAATGGAGCAGCGCACACCTCTCAAAACCAGAGCCTGGATGGCCAAAGCTATGCTCTGGCTGCTGGCCAGGCTCCGAGCAGCAGGATTGCCAGTGCTGCAGACCCAGAAGGCCCCAGGATCCCAGGTAAGGCTGCTGAGGCAAGCTCAGTGCTGGCCCCAGCCTCCCCTACCCCACCCGGGGTAACCTGTCACGTGCCAGAGAGCGCATGGCACAGCCGTTCCCTGGGGACAACCAGCAGTGGCACAAGGTATCACTTGTGACCATATGAACAGGGCATATCTAGAGTAATCATCTCCTATCAAAACTTCCTTGGCATCCACCATCATTAGTTTAGGGATGTCTAAGGATACATTCCTGGACTGTTTAACAGATATTAATGAACCTGTCTTCCATTAACTTCTCTAGTCCATTTTTTAATCTGGCTATACTATCTACCGCTATAACCTCCTGTGGCAACAAGTTCAGCAAGTTAACTACTCTCTGCACAAAACAGCACTTCCTCTTGTTTGTTTTAAACTCATCTCCTTTTAATTTCAATGGGTGTCCCTTAGTTTTTGTACTCTGGGACTTGATAAATAACAGTTCCCTATTCACTTTAACCACACCCTATATGATTCCATAGACCTCTGTCATAACCACCTCAGCCTTCTGCTTTCCAGACTGAAGTCCTAGTTAAATCCAACCTGATGGTGAGGAGCTGCACAAAGGTCTAACAGCGTTGAGTGACCAAAAACTGGCAGATGAACTTCAAGGTTGACAAGTGCAAAGTCATGCATATGGGCAAAAATAACTTCATGTATACAGTCATATGCTCTGAACTACCTGTAAAGACTCAGGAAAGAGACCTTGGAGTCATTGTAGATAGTTTTCTAAAAACATCAGGTCAATGCACAGCAGTGACAAAAAAAGCCAAAAATTGTAGAGGTGCACCAATATATTATGGTGGGCGGGGGCGGGGCATGCAGCAGCAGCACTGAGAGGGGTGGCTACAGGGGGATTATGGCAAACTTTGGGGTGTCTCTAGCCTACCCCATAGCCCCCCCCTTTCCCAGCACTGCCACTGCCCCCCCCTCACCCACCCCAAGTGCAACCCCGGCCCAGCCTACCCACTGGGAAAAGGCCAGCACAGCCTCTGGCCCCAAGCCCGCAGTGGGCAGCCCACCCTTGCCCCACACAAATCCAGGGGACATATGCCCACTCCATGCCTCTCCCGGGGTTGTACACAACAGCAGGGAGCCACCCCCCTCCCCACCCACCAGACAAGCCACCTGTAGCTCCATCCTGTGCCCCACCCTGGCTGGGAAGTACAGCAGCTGCTGCTGCCCCTTCCCCTGCCCCTGCCCCACTCCCTCCCTCACTGTAGGGGCCTCAATCTCCCCCTGCCATGCCCATTCTGCACCCTCCCCCCAGATTTACCGGCCTGTAACAGGGGGTCTTCTCAGGTCCGATTTCCCTGTGGCTCACCCACCTGTTTCTGAGCTAACCACCCGCCTTCTCGCCCACCATGCCTTGTTGTTAATTAATGAATTAGTGTTAATTAGGTAGGAGGCTGCCCAGTTCTTGCCCCGATGCCAGGGGTTGCTATCTGCAGCTCCGTTCCTCTCCTACACTGCAGCAGATGGCATCCAGATGTTATCCATATCCCCAGCCACACACTGGGCCCCAGAATCCTACTAGTTGGACCCCACTTAGATCCCTCCATTCAGGCAGCCCATTCTGCCTTCATTCCCGGGTGGATAGCTCCCTAAGCTGCTCCCTCTTACGAGTGTGGTCCCCCCCGGGACCTTTGGCTGCTAGCCCTGGCCCACCTCCAAGCCAGTCAGAACCCCAGGCCCTCAGCTCTTGGGCATTCCTTGCAGTGGGCCCCTGGCCCTTTGACCCTCCCAGTCCTAGCCCCAGCTTGGACCAGTCGGGGGATGTCAAGACAGGTTAAGAGTCTATGGCCTGACTCTCTCTCTCCCTGGAGTCCACCTCCTAGACCCTACGAAGGGGGTAACCCACCCGGTGGTGGGGGCTAGGGGTTAAGGCACCCCGACCCGCCTTTCACCAGGGTGGTAACTGGCCTGGCATTTCCTGTGGGCTCCCATGCCACTGAGAGCCCTACCAGGCCACCCACTCCCAGCAGGGTGCAGTTTTAGGTCATGCCCAGGACCAGGAGCCTCCTGACCATTCCCTACAGCTCCTCCCTTACCTCCAGATGATACCAGCAGCCCTCCAGCCAGGCAATGTTGTTGCCTGGCCTCCCAGCAGCAAAATGCCCTGTTTATATGGGCTGCCCTGAATCTAAAATGGCTGCCCTAATCAGGCACCTGCCGGCTGCTGTCTTCTGGTCCTTAAAGTAGCAGGCACAAACAGTGCCCTGCCAGAGGCCAGGCGCTGCTTTCCAAGCTGCCCAGCTGCATTCCTGTTCGCACGCATGCTGCAACTGTGCACATGCACATGGCACTGATCGGTGACATTATCGGCTACACTAACAAAAAATAGCTGATTGCCAATAATATCAATTTTCCTTTTATCAGTGTTGATCCGATATGGATCAATATATCAGTGCACCTCTACAATTTTGGGCTTTTTTTTGGTCGCTGTTGTGCATTGAGCTGATGTTTTTAGAAAACTACAATGACTCCAAGGTCTCTTTCCTGAGTCATTCCAGGTAGTTCAGGGCATACCACTATGTACATAATGTTGAGGTTATTTTTGCCCATATGCATTACCTTGTACTTGTCAACCTTGAAGTTCATCTGCCACTTTTTGCCCACTCACCATTGTGAGACCTTTGCGTATCTCCTCACCGTCAGCTTGGATTTGACTATTCAAAATATTTTAGTAACATCTGCAAACTTCAAGATTTCACTGTGCGCTCCTTTTTCCAGGTCATTTATGAAAACATTGAACAAAACTAGACCCAGCACAGATCCTTGAGGAACCCAATTATTGACCTTTTTCCATCTGAAAAGTGACCATTTAGCCCTACCTTAGCTTCTTATCTTTTAAGCAGCTCTTTATCCACATGGGAACTTTATCTTCAATCCTACAGCAACTTGTTTTAAAGTGCTTTTGGTGAGGGACCTTTTGAAAAACTCTTCAAAAATCCAAAGGGACTAAATCAACTGCATCCTCCTTATCCACATGCTTTTTACCCCAGCAGATTGGTGAGACAGGATTTCCCTTTAAAGAAACCATGGTGATTTTTTTGTCCAACATATCGTATTTACCCTTGTGACTGATGATTTCACTTGATGGCTCCTACTAACTTGCCTGGGATAGAAGTGAGACTCAGCAGCCTGTAATGCCTAGGATCACTTCTGGAGCCCTTTTTGAAGAAGTGTATTATGTTTGCAACTCACCAGTCCTTTGGCACAGAGGCTGTTTGTAATGACAGGTTAAATACTGTTACCAACAGTTCTGTGATTTCACATTTCAGTTCCTTCAGAATTCTTGGGTGAATACCATCTGATCCTAGTGACTTAATCATGTTTACATTATCAATTTGTTCTAAAACCTCCTATTTTCACTTCAGTGAAAATGCAATATTTAGACTTATCTGCTAGGAAGAGACGATCTGGTGGGGAATCCCCCTAATATCCTCTAAAGTAAAACACATGCAAATAATTCATTTAGTTTCTCTGCTATGGCCTTATCATCCCTGAGTTCACCTTTTACTCCTTGGTCATCTAATAGTCCAACCAATTATCTAGCTGGCTTCCTCCTTCTGTTGTATTTTTTTAAGTTTTTATTATAAATTTCAGCATCTTCTGCAAGATCCTCCTCAAATTCTTTTTTTGGCATGCCTTGTTTTGCTTTTTCATTTGATCTGTCAGAGTTTGTGCACTTTCCTGCTTTCCATTTTTTGAAAGATGCCATTTTGCTTTGGTTAGCCTTCTTAATTCTGCTTAACCTGCATATTCTCCATTAGACTCTTGGAAACAAATAGAAATGCTTTTTATATTGCTGACAACTTACATGTTTCAAAAGATCCCTTATAAAATACTGAAAGCACAAATATTTTTACCTGAATTTTTCCATGGACATCTCTGAGTAGAAATGATTTCCCTGTTTTGATTAATCTCTTTGACTGGAAGATCCTGGAATGTGGTACCAAGCATATAGGTTGACTCATGAGTACCAGGTGAGATCTTCATATGAGCTGTAAACCTGGGGCATGGTAATGAAGGTCCCTTATGGTGGTGCTTACACTGGGGGAAAAAAAGTAAGAGTGAGAATCCAATGATATTCTGTGTGCAAGAGTCACCGCTATTAAGTTCAGTTAGCCAATAACAACACACAAAGGGGTGCATGTAGCACCAGTTTCCTATAGCTGTCTTATATTCTTTAAATTCTGAGGACATAAAAACAAAGAATCTATCTCTACAGAAAATAAAACCATGTGCTGGCTTGATACACTGAGGGTGTGTTGTTTTGGTTTTTGTGTTTTGGGTTGGGGGGGTTGCATGCATTTTCTCATTTTTTAGCTTATATCAGTGGTGCTCAATCTTTCGGCTCCATAGGCTAGATAAGTGGCATAGGGCTGCTGGTCCATGAGTCAGTACTGAGCCTGAGCTACTCTGATTGACCTCGAAGCACCCCACTCAGCTCTACACAGTCCCACACAATCCAGCTCAGCTCCGCTTAACCCTGTGGTGCCCCAGTTGGCTCCATGCCACTCCATACTGCCCTGCTTGGCCTCTTGCTGCCCTAATCAGCCCCACACACTCAATCTAAGGGGCAGACCCATGCTATCAGATTCACAGGGCTCCCCATCTGAAAATTTGACAGCAGAGGAGCAGCAATCAGTGGCCATTGCTCCCCCGCTGCCAAATTTTATGATCCATAAGGAACCCTGCAGGTTGGATGACATGCCTTCACAAGCTGGGGGTTGAGCACCCCTGGCTTATAGCATGAGAGGCCATAGCAAGACATTCAGAATGGACTCTGACACTGACCTTTCTTCCTAGCCTCTTATTCCACTAAGCAGAAGAGCTCAAGTCAATGAATCTGGTGCACAACCCCATACCCAGATGGGGCATGTCCAGACAAACATGCACATGTGGTTTGCAGAGCCCCAAAGCTGCTTGAGGTGCCACAAACTGTGTACAGTGCACATTCACGTTCACCCATTCTAATTTGCAGTGCAGTGCCAAAGTTTGACACCAGGAGATCCCACTGCCAAAAATAACCACCACTGAAAAAGTGGCACAGTGCATGCAGCAGCAGCATGTGCCACCAGAAATGAAGCATGGCTGGCCACAGTCACATTCTGGCTACCGGCCAGACTCCAAGTGACTGGATCAGTACCACTGCTGCCCCAGGAGGCCCCCAGGACCTCTGGGGCCAGAACAGGTGGGATAAATATGTGCCACTGCTATCTGTCCCATGGGAAATGCGAGCTGCTGCACATGCACTCTTGTCTGGATATGCTCATTGTGTCCAATTTTGGTACATAACACCATGCGGGCATAGAGGTCTTAGCTAAGGACTCCACTTTCAGGCTTGGGAACCCAAAAGAAGGGCAAACATCAGCAGAAGAGAGTCTTCAGTCAAGCTCCAGGGCTAAGGACAAAAGTTATACATAAACCGGTTTAAGTTATCAGACTCTGGTTTAAACCTGTAACAGAACAGAAGTTCAGTACACATACTATATTTCAAAATGGTTGAAACTGGTTTAAGATAAACCTGGTTGAATATAGTATCAGTGTATGGGGGTTTCTCGCACCGCCTAGAGTCATGTCACCTCCCGGCTGAAACAGTAGTGTCTCGTTGTAATAAATCTCCTGCCACACCTTCAATGTTAAGGGAGATGTATCTAGACACTACTGGGATGCAACTAAGAAGAGTCAAGAACTCAGAACTTCTGCGGCTCTTCGCAGGGCTCCACCATCCCCATACCCTGCCCTCACCACACCTGATGTTCTGGGCAATATTGATTGCCACTAAGATTCATTATCATCTTAACCCAAAGGATCCTATCTACGGTCCTTGCCTAAGTGGCTGCTTACCCCATTCTTCCCTGCATGGGTCCCAAGACAGCTACCTTCTCCTTGGTTCTTCCCTCATCACCTTCTTCTGGCTGGGGTCCTCTCTCTCTTCTCCTATCCCTTCTGGGAGGGTAACGCCACCTTTGCCTTCCTCCTCTTCTAGGTCCCCAGAGTGGTTCCCTTCACCCCCCGGAGTCCAACTCACCAGTCACTCAAGCTACTTCATCGACTCCCACTCTCAGCTGGACCTCAGCTGGTAAGTAGCAGGGTCAGAGCTTACCCTTGGGGCTTCTACTCACTCATCTTCACTTGCTTGCTCTCTCTTCTTGTCTCCTTCTTTCCTCTGCTCTTTCTTCTTCTACCTTCCCCAGGACACTCCCTCAGCATCCCTTAAATCTCCCTCTCTTCAGCTGGGTCCCATGCAGCAGTTCCCTATTGGCTGCCTGCCTGACCCAGCTGTTCCTCCTTTGCATACCAGCATGGAACGTCTTTCTTTCTCTTTGTTCTTGTCCTGCACCAATCTTTTCCTTCCCTGCTTGGTTTCCTTTGATCTGCCACAGCCCCAGCCAGTGTCTCCATTTGTTCAGATCGTGTTGGGGTCTGCCATGACTCCTCCAGCTTGCCAAGGTACGTTTCTCTCCTACAGTCCTTCCTGCTTCTGTTCGTGGCAGGGGGCTTCAGGCACCCTGTCACAATCAGACTTCACTGATTTAGGTCAAGCCAGTTTATGAAACTTCTGTCCTAGACCCCTTCTGGGTTCAAGTTAAACCACAGTCCCCGAGCATACCAGCATGCTTTGCAGCCCTGGGCTGTGCTGTCTGCTCCAGAGAGCAGGGTTGGCCCTGCCCCTCTGCTCCCTAGCCAGAGCAGTGAGGACTGCCTGGAAGATCTAACCCTATCTTTTCCACTCTTCTCCTAAGTAAAGCCCTTTCTGAGAAATAATCCTGATGCAACTTGCAGGAAGACTAATATCAGGGCATTTTTTCAACAGTGGTTAGAGATTTTTTTTTAATCCTCACTGCAGCAAGCTACAGACTAATCAGAAATGTAGCTGGGTCTTTCTGACTACATGAGACTTGAAAGGGCTAGTTTATTATACCCTGACCAGTGAGTTTATTACTTACAAGTTAAATTGAAGACAATCAAAGTTCTTCTTGAAACCCGGGGGAAGAACCAAGGTATTTCTGCTCATCCAGCCAGGCAGGGGGGCAGGGGGAGGAGGGATGGAGGAGAGGGTTATATGTGTGTGCGTGGTTGGGAGTGGAGGTGGCAGTGGCAACCCAAGAGTGACAGACAGTGGGCATGAGCCCCGCACCTGGCTAGAACCATGAGGAACCTGCAGCTGGCAGGGGAGGGGGAGTGGGGCAGCCTGTGCGTGAAGCAACTCTGTGGCAAGACTGAAGATGCAAAGCAAGGTACACACCCCAAGGGTCCCAGGGGCCCCAGAATGTATGGGCAATGACTGGACAGGCAGCAGCATAGAGGCAACACTGTTGTAGCTGCAGGCAGACATGTTGGCAGCCAGACTGACCATGTGGGATGAGCCCTTCATGCCCGTGGCTGCCTGGGCTGGCTCATATGTGCCAGCAGGCCTGGAGGCCAGCAGCTGCCAACCACAGGAGCTCATGTGCCCACAGCCACAGTCACCCCTCCCCCCGCCCAGCTGGACAAGCAGGTGGACCTGGCTCTTCCCGTGGGTTTCAAGAGGAACTTTGACTGTCTTCTGTTTAACCTATAAGTAATAAACTCACTGGTCAGGGAGGGCTTGAACCGTGAACTGGGGAGAAGGCCCTGTTCATTCCCCCAACTCCCTGATCATTGCCCCCAGCCGCCATGGCTTCTCCCGGAGCTGCCTGCTCAAGCTGCAGTGAGGCAGGCAGTGATGGCAGCCCTGAGAGAAGCCACAGAGGCTGGGGAGAATGATCAGGGAGCTGAGGGAATGATTGGGAGCTTGGGGATCAAATTGGGAACTGGGGAGAGTTGGGGGAAATGATCAGGTGCTAGGGGAATGAACAAGGGCTTCCCTCCAGCCCCTGGTTTGACTCCCCAGTTCCCTGTTCAATCCCCCAGTTCCCTGATCATTCTGTGAGGGGAGGAGGAAGCCAAGGGAGTAGCCGGACAACCCATGGCTTCTTCTGGGGCTGCCGGCTCAAGATGGGCTCGTCTGGCTGCTCCCCAAGCTGCTCCTGCCAGCACTGCCTGCCTGTATAGTCGGTCTAAAATTTCAGTCTCCTTATTGGACATCTTTCTATTTCTTCTAATTCTCCCTTATACTATTTGTTGATGGAAAATATTTTGGCTTTTGATGGACTTCTGACCCAGAGCCATGAGCTTGCACTAATTTTGCATGGGCCTCTGCATCCATAACTGTGAAGAGGGACGGACAATAAATAAAATA